AAAAACCCAAAGACCAATGGCTGGGCCAGAGGTTCACAAAAGACCAGAATTAGGAGGAACACAGTTTGTGGGGAAAGGGTGTCTATTGTGTGGCTGGATGAAAACATAAGGTCTTGAGACGATGAAGGAATTTTACAGTTGAGGCAATTAAAAATCTAGGCAAAGGAAAAAATTACCCAGGTTTATCCTCCCCACAAAAATCAGGGCAGAATCGAAACGTGGTCAACTACTGCCCCATTGCTCCACACTCATTCAACAGCAAAATGATGGATGATGATGATGATCCTCCTACCTTCTTTGTTTCTAGACAACAAAATGCGGAGCTGGAGGAACACAGCGGGCCAGGCAGCATCAGAGGAGCAGGAAAGTGGACGTTTCGGGCTTCAGAAATTCAGATTTTCTGAAGAAAGTTTCCAACTCAAAACGTAAACTTTCCTGCTCCCATGATGCTGCCTGGTCTGCTGCGTTCCTCCAGCTCCACACTGTTATCTCTGACTACAGCATCTGCAGTTCTTGCTATTTCTGTTTCCCTTCAATAATCCGCTCACCAACACACTCAGCTGAGACAACTTGATCCAGATCCAATTACAGTTTTGGTCCAAAAAATTCAAGAGAGGTGCGGTGACAGTGACTAGAGTCATAGAGCTGTACAGCATAGAAACAGACCCTTTGGTCCAACTTGTTCATACTGACCAGATTTTCCAAATAAATCTAGTCCTATTTGGCCCATATCCCTCTAAACTCTTCCTATTCACATGCCTATCCAGGTGTCTTTTAAATGTTGTAATTGTACCAGCCTCTACCACTTCCTTTGGCCGCTCGTTCCATACATGCACCACCCTCTGCATGAAAAAGCTGCCCCTTAGGTCCCTACTATATCTTGCCTTCTCACCTGAAACCTATGCCCTCTAATTTTGGACTACTTCACCCTGGGAAAAAAAAAGACCCTGTCTATTCACTCTATCCATGCCCCTTATGATCTTACAAACAACTAGAAGATCACCCCCCAGTTTCCAATGCTCCAGGGAAGATAGCCTCTCCTTGTAGCTCAAACCCTCCAACCCTGGCAAGATCCTTGTAAATCCTTTCTGAACCCTTTTCAAGTTTCACAACATCCTTCCTATAATGGGGAGACCAGAATTGCATGCAGTCTTCAAAAGTGGCCTAACCAATGTCCTGTACAGCCACAACAGGACCTCCCAAATCCTATACTCAGTGCATTGCCCAATAAAAGCAAGCATGCCAAATGCATCCTTCACTATCCTGTCTTCCTGCAACTCCACTTTCAAGGAACTATGAACCTGCATTCCAAGGTCTCTTTGTTCGGCAGCACTCCCCAGGACCTTACCATTAAGTGTATAAGTCCTGCCCTGATCTGCCTTTCTGAAATGCAACACCTCTCATTTATCTAAATTAAACTACCCTGAACATAATGGCAGCATTTCAAATGGTATGAAGGCTGTCCAGTAAACCTGAAGTCATCGGAATTGAGGGAAGAGTTGGTACTCTCTACTAACTGTGGAGCTACTTTAAGGAAGATAGTTATTCTTGTTCGAGGTCAATTATCACAACACCATCATGTTGTTGCAGGAGTTCCTCAGGGCAGAGTTCCAGGCATCAATAATTACTTTCCCAGAATTATCGTAAGTGAGGACATTCACTGGCAATTGCAGCGCTGAGCTTTATTCTCACCTCCTCCGTCAGTATGTGCCAATATTCAACAAGGCCTGGACAACTGTCAAAAGCTGGCAAGTAACAATTATGCCAGGCAGGTGCTGGGCAAGAGTAATTTCCAATAACAAAGTCTAATTCCTTTGACATTCAATGGTTTTTGCCATTACCGAATTTCCTGAAGTTAGGATCTTGGGGGAGGGGCCACCACCAAACATGAAAATACTATGGCGATAAGAAGTGGGCATTTTGTAGTAATTGAGTCACCTCATGATTCGCCAAAGCTTTCCATTATCTACAAGACAAGTCATAAGCATGACGGAATACTTTTTAAGCCAGAGTACATAGAACATAGTACAGCACAGTACAGGCCCCTCGGCCCACGATGTTGTGCCGATCTATTATCCTACTAAGATCAATCTACCCTGCATACCCTACATTTTACTATCCTCCATGTGCCTATCCAAGAGTCGCTTAAAAGTCTCTAAATTATCTGACTCCACTACCACTGCTGGCAGCGTATTCCACACACCCACCACTCTCTGTGTGAAGAACTTACTTCTGACATCTCCCCTATAACTTCCTCCAATCACCTTAAAATTATGCCCCCTTGTAATAGTCATTTCTGCCCTGGGAAAAAGTCTCTGACTATCCACTCTATCTGTGCCTCTCCTCATCTTGTACACCTCTATCGAGTCACCCCTCATCCTTCTTTGCTCCAATGAAAAAAGCCCTAGCTCCCTCGACCTTTCCTCATAAGACCTACCCTCCAGTCCAGGCAACATCCTGGTAAATCTCCTCTGCACCCTCTCTAAAGCTTCCACATCTTTCCTATAATTAGGTGACCAGAACTGAACACAATATTCCAAGTGTGGTCTAACCAGAGTAGCCCCCCTTGATTAGCATCACATCCATTACCTTTCACACCTGCATATTCACTCTTCACCAGCAGGGTGCAGTGTATGCCATCTACAAAATGCCAAAGTTTCTTCGATGGCAAACTCTTAGCTATATTTCCAGCTACAAGTTTCTTCTAAATCACACACCATCTTGACTTCAGATTAGATTGTAGTTGGTCTAATGTCACTGGGTCAAAATCCTGCAATTCCAAACTTAAAAGCATGTAAGAGCATCTTTACTACACAGACTGCAGTAATTCAAGAATGGGGAAGAAAGTAAAATTTTGCTTTTATGTGTTGCCTTTCATGATCAACAGCTATCTGAAATGAACCAATATGGTATTTTTGAGGAGGACTGAGGGATAAATGTTGACTAGGAAATCAGTAATAACCCCTATATTCTTCAAAATAGCACTATTGGATGTTTCACACCCACTTCAGGACAGACAAGATTAACATCTCATCCAAAAGACAGAAGGATGAGAAAAAGAAATTCACCAGCTTCCCCAGGGTAATGAGGATTGAACAACAAATTCTAATTTATCCAACAATGTCAACTTCCCACAAATTAATGAATCAATGCCAAGGGTGATTGGTAAGTGGAACAGTACAGGATAAGGTAAGCAAAGTTTTAGATGTCAAGTTCACACCTACATTCATAAACTAAAAACATAGCAAATACAAATAAGATGAAAGCAGAGGTCTATTAACATCATGAATACTGTACAAAAATCAGGTGTAAAATTTGAAATCAAACTGGGAATTCATGAACTGCGCTGATGTGCATTTAACAACTTCAGCAGTATGCTTCTTTTACTAACTTTTCCTTAAGGATTACTTTACCTGGTGGAATGTGCAGCCTGTATAACAATCTGAGTTTTTCACTGATGTCTCCATTGTACATTATTTCTATGATATAAAAATAAAACACTTATTCAATCAAGACCCTCTTTTCCACACTGTCCATACTGCCAATACAAAGCAAAATTTTTGCCGCTTGAATAGTTTGTTAATTAGGTACCAATCTTGATACCAAGATTTTAAGCAGACAGTTCATGCATATTTACATTAATTAACTCTGCATGAAAGAGATTAAAAAGTAGTTACCTAAACAACTGACCAATTCTTTAAAATCGATTAGAGAATCTTCATTTTCATCTAGTATGCGGAACGTCCTCTGGGCTAAAAGATCTGTATGGGTACCCCACGTCCAGGGGCTTAGAAGACAGAAGAGGTTGCTGAACTGGAAACTATTTATTTTGTATTGTTCCAGATATGGGAGGCTGGGATCATGATGCAACGCTGCTGAGTCATTTCCACCCCAGTAACAAGCTAAAAGATATTCTCTCTGGTTGAAAAATAAAGTAAATATAAATTTTAAAGGCAGAGTAAGGGATACAGCTTAGAATATAATTTTACAAACTATTCCTTTCTAACTAAAAGTTGGAATGCAATTTCTTTCTTTTGCCAGTTCCCATTGCAGAAGTTCCAGATTTATTGCCAAACTGACTATTTTCCCAGTGACACTCTTTGTAGGTGCTGAATGCTCAATGCAGTCACATGACATCAGGTAAATCCAACAGAAACCAACCAAGTATTGACAATTTGTCAATTTCAACAATAAAAAGGGCTGCTTCCTCATTAGAGAGATATGACTGGTGGTGGTTTAAGCTGAAGGTCACTTTGGCTCAGGTGAGGGAAGAGGCTGAGGAAGAGATTTTTTTTTCCCCTGGTAACCTCAGCCAGTGTGGTGTGACCCACACTGTTGGCATCACTGTGCTCCCAAACCAGTTATGCAATCAACGCAGCTAACTGACCCCCTACAGTATCTGATGGCACACAATATCTACCGGTACACACTTATCAAATTTATGGTGACAGCTTTGAGTCACATCATTACATTAACATTACCCATTTAGATATACCATCATGACAGGAATCTAAACACTACATATATGTGCACAAGAGAAAGGACAGCAAGTCTCTCAGTCTTGAATACCTTCTTATGAGCAAATAATTACAATTAGCAGAAGGCCTAGTAGCAGGGATACTGCTTACACTTTAGGATTAGTATGCATGTGAAGAAAATGCCACCAATTTTTATTTCGTAAGGTGTCTATATAGAATTATGACCACAGAAAATTGGGGAAGGACTCATTACCGTTCAAAATTGAGCATCTGCGGTTGAGTCACTCGCAATTACCAGCTCTTGTAAAACTCACCTTGAAAAGGTCATAGAGGTCTCCAAGCCCTTCAGTACTAAATGAAACTTCTGGTGCCACAACTCGGAGCTGCAAAATTATATTTAAAATGTTAAATTAGCCCCATGGCCTTACATTAACTGAGAAGGTAAGCAACTCTCAAATTATTAATACATTTTCTGAATGCTTACAAAACTCAAATGCACTGTCTCTTTCAAATGTTTTGTTTTATCCTTTTGCTTTATTTAGTTTAGCTCCAATTTTTCACCAATCTGTATAACCAGTCCTTAGTGCATTCTGACAATGCATGATCTAGGAGGCTGCAGGATGACATGAATTGGTGCCTTATATTGAAGAGTACTTTAGGAAGAACAGGAAGCTGGGAAAGGTGGAGCGGTGACTCTGTTAGTTAATGGTTGTAATGGAAGGATGATGTGATTTCAGAACAAAAAAAAAGCATGTAGAAGCAGTTTGAGCAGGAATGAGAACAATAAAGGCAAATAACCACCCTGATGGTAACCAAACAGGAGAGTGGAGCGTAAAGGAGGAAATAATCAGCCGGTCAGAAAAGCACAGAGATAATCACATGGGCTGTGTATCTTTGGAACTCTTCCCGAAACAGCAGAGCAAGCAGTGTCTCAGTAATTCTAAAACAGAGGTGGATAGATTCTCGGTAAGGAAGAGGTGAAAGATGATCAGGAGTAAGTGGGAACATGAATTTGAAGTTACAATCAGATGAGCCGCACATCTCACAAAATGGCAGAGCAGGCTATGGTCTTCCCACACATCTGTGGCCTGTGGCCTATGTCCTACTAGATGGTGGGGATTGTAGGTTTTTAAAAGTACTGTTGAAGCAGCCTTGTCAAGTTACTACAGTGCACCTCGAATAGGCATAGACTACTGCCACTGTGCATCAGGTTTGTAAGGAGTAAACGCTTTAGAGAAGGGACAGGATGCTAATCAAGTGAGTTGCTTTTGTCCATGATAGTGTCAAGTGTGTTGTCAAAACCACACTCAACCAAGCAAGTAGGTGTATTCAATCCCAATCCTGACTTGTGCTTCGAACATCGTAGTCAGGCTCTGGCGAGTCAGGAGGTGAGTTACTCATTGCAAGATTCCTAACCTCTGGCTTGCTCTTGTGGTCACAGTATTTATTTGGCTAGTTTAGTTGCTGCTCAATGGTAACCCACAGAATGTCAACAGTGGAGGATTCAGTGACAGGAACGTTAAGAGAGGAGAGTTACAGAATGTAAGAGGATGTATGTGCCGATAGCTTTGTTATTGAACGTTATTTACCACACTTAGTAGCCCAAGCCTGGATGTTGTCTGGTTGTTATTACGTATGGACACAGACTACATTCATATCAGAGACTTTTCAAATGATACTGAATACCGTGGGATCATCAGTGAACTCCCCAGTTCTGACTTTATAATGCGAGGGTAGGTCATTGATGAAGCAGCTGAAGATGGTTGGAGGCAGTACACCACCTGGAGGAACCACTTTAACGGTGTCCTTGAACTGCCATCATTGGTATTTAACCACAATCACCTCCCTTTAATTAGGATAGACTCCAAACGGAGGAGAGGCTTACCCCCTCCCCCCACCCCCACCAATTTTGTTGGGGCTCCTTGATGCAAAGGGCAATCACTCCCACCTCACATCTTGAATGGAGCTCTTTTGCACATGTTTGAATCAAGGTTGTAATAAAGTCAGGGACTGAGTGATCCAGGCAGGACTCAAACTGACCATCAGTGAGTACGTTATTGTTATCCAAGTTCCACTTGATAGCTCTGTCAACAACACACTCCATCACTTTGTTCGTGATCAAGTGCAGACTGATGGAGCAATAGCTAGCCAGATTCAGTTTGTTCTGCTTTTTATTACAACTTGTATGACTAAATATTAAGTAATGATTATCACAAAATAAAACAACTCTGGTTTTCTTTTAATCACACTAATTGATTGTGTAAACTTACCACATTTTGTTTAGTGGTATCTTCTAAGTTCTGTAGCACTCGTATTCGGTGTCTGCAGCGCATTTGCTCGATTTGTCCTACGTGAAGCTCTCCAAATTTCTGAATGTGCAATAAGAGCAGATTCAAAAGAAATTAGTGTACAATTTAGAATAGTTTCCACATTGAAGAATAATGGGCAGAGAGGGAGATAGAACAGGAACAGGCACTGTAGAGGTCAGTTTTCAGCTTTCTAAATGCACTGTGCTGAAACCAAATATTCCCAGGTCAGTTACCAGTGCTGTGAACATGCCTTCGACCTGGGATAACCCAATGCATTATGTGGAAGCATGACTGGAGTGTTTTTGAGACAGCGATCATTTTAGTTATGATGCATAGAAAGGCCTGACTGTGAGCAACCATTTTGTACAGAGACCATGACAGAAATAAATTGAAGCAGTCACTGTTTCTCAAAAGGAGACAAAAAGATCAGTGCCTAGGACTGCTGTACTGAACGAGGCTACCTGCAGTGCTATTAAAGTGAAGCACACACCACCCACTAACTCCCAGGATCTGTTTTGCTCAGAGCACCTCTCGGAGCAACTATTTGACCACCGAAGCCATCGCAGCTGCTGAATCTGAGTTAAAGTTTTCAACCATTTCACTTTGGAAAGAGAATCTGTAAGCCAAAGTCAAATTCAAATGTACCGTCATGCTGTTTCAGTGTTCAGCTGAAATTTAGATAGCTGCATTTTTGTTGTGGATTCATTAATAGATTTAAATAATTAAAATGCAGTACAAAGTAAAATTGTGGAAATTGATTTCAGTTTCATTCCTATGTGTAACTTTCATCCTCATTTTAAATTTGTACTTCTGATAAGTAAAATTTGTTAAAGCTGAATAATTATCAGCATTTGTTGTAATGAAATAACTTTGATCACATTTAAAACGTTGAAATGTGTTGCTGGTTATTTATAAATTGAAACACCCAAGAACTAAAAGGATGTTAGATAATGAACTTGTACAAAATTTACAATTCACAGACCACTTTGAAGAAGTGTCTGGCGTGGTTGTGACACTAGGCACCAACTGAGCTAACCCACTCAACATGATCAAGGAAACAAAGTTAAATTTAAATATACTGTCATGCTGTTTCAGTGTTCAGCTGAAATTTAGATAGCAGCATTTTTGTTGTGGATTCATTAATAGATTTAAATAATTATAATACAATATAAAGTAAAATGTTAAAGTATATTTTAAAAATTCGCCAAGAGCCGTCATAACAAATTACTGTTCCCCAATGTTATAAAGGCAAGTAGACATGCCAATTAACATGAAATTATTTCATGCATGTCAATGGAGCACTAGGAATGCTACGTAACATTTCACCAGAAGTGGTTCACTGATAGTATTTTGTGTGGAAGTTCATGCCTAAGAGTGGAGAGAGAAAAAGAAATAGAATAGAAACATCATTCACCAGCATCATCTTTCATATTATCCTAGATGCAGTTAGCTACTGCTGGGAACCCAGACATTCAAAATGCTTTCTACAATCAAAATTGATCCCCACTTCCACATCTGTAATTAGCTGTAAAAATAAATGAAGTAAACTGACAGCCACTTATGAAGAATGCATTCAATAAAGGTGATCCACTACAAAACCAATTTGTGATTGAAAACTGTAACAGGATCATAAATTGAACATTTTGCTAACAATCTGCTGTAGTAGGTTCAATTTATAAACCTAAAATGTCAGTACATGTTGGTTTGTTTTACAGTTATATCAGAGCACATTTTGGCTAGAGTCTGGCTGTTACCATTAAACATTATTAGCCTTAAATTAACCCTCTGGTAAAATTCAATATTTTCATGTTCTAGATAGAGTGATATTGGAAGATAGAACAAAAGCAAAATCCTGAAATTAGAACTTAACCGGAAAATGCTAAACTCAACAGGTCTGGTAGCCCGATGAAATTGTGTTAATGTTTCAGGTCAGGTCAATTTGACCTAAAATGTTGACCATTTTTTTCCTCCATGGATGCTGCCAGACCTGCTGAGCTTTCCAATGCTCTTATTTAAGACTTCCAGCACCTGCAGTATTTTGCTTTTCTATCCAGAAATAAATTCTATAGTGAGTTAGGACATGAGCCAATTTATTTATAGAGACTGAAAGAAGTTTCAGAACATGTGCAGCACAGAAAGAGGTCTTTCAGCTCTTGCCCATGCTGATCATCAAGCATCTATTTACTTTAATCCCATTTTCCAGAAGCTGGGCCATATCCTTCTATGATATAGTGCTTTAAGTGATCTTCCAAAAACTTAAATATTCTGACAGCATCCACTTCTACCACACTTGCAAGCAGTGATTTCTAAATACGCACCACTCTCTGAATGAAATAAATCTTCATTAAATCTCCTCTAAACCTCCTGCTTTTATCATAAATCTATGCCCCTGACTACTCCATCTCCCGAGGAGAATGGGTTCTTCCTATCTGCTCTATCTACACCCCTCTAATTTTGCACAACTCAGTCACGATCCCTTTGGCCTCCTTTGCTCTAGAGAAAAAACCACAGCCTATCTAATTGTTCTCTGCAATGAATTGCTCCAGCCCAGCTAACATCCTGGTGAATCCCTTCCACACTCTCTCCAGCGCAATCGCATCCTTCAGAAAGTGTGATGACCAGAACTGTACACAGCCATCCAGCTGTGTCCCAACTAACATTATTCACAGCTCCATCATAACCTCTCTGATTTTGTATTCAATGCCTTGTCTAATAAAGGCAAGTATACTATATGCCACCTTAACCATCTTCTCTACCTTGTTAGGACCATCAGTATCTTTTGTTTTTCTCATTTTTGGTTTGGAACTGTGAGCTGGAGATTAGAGGTGAACTTTGGACTTTGAACAGCAGCTCATTTTTCTTTTTTAAAAAAAGGTAAGAACAAAAACGGATATTTGTTGATGGGTACTGGCCTGGAAAGTTAATTGTAGGTTAATCATTGTTCTAAGATGACTGCAGACATTTCAGTATCTGAGATTTATTGTGCTCAAGGATTGGCAAATGCTTGGATGTTAAAAGGGGCAAACAAGGGGGACCAGTGCCAGTCAGTCAATGAGATTATTGGGGAAAGTAAAATAAGAGAATCCACGGATTGAACTGAATTTGAACTGTATTTTGGACAGGAGGCAGTATGGCTACGAAGGCTGCAGGACAAAGTTTTTGGGTTGCTGTCTAGTTACCTTCAGTTATCGAATTATTAAAAGATTGAGAAAAGAAGCCCAGTGTGTAAGACACAAAAGTGTCTCCAGCAGCCTGCAGAAGCTGTTTGCATTGACCAGTGAGTTCAGAATTCAAGCAGGACATACAGTCCCACGTGACTGTGAAATACTCATTACCCAAGGATTGTATGAAGGGTTAGCAATCATCATTCAAAACTGCTTAAGTGAACTGTCCAGTTGCAATTCATATTTTCTTTTCAATTTATCCATTAACAATGTCTGTCTGTCTTTGAGAGAGTGTAGGGGCTATGATCAAAGAAGATTGGGTTTAAATCATAGACATTAATTAGATATTGTTTAACTTTGTTCTGCTAAAGTTGTAGCATTAATAATTGTTAATTTCTGTAACTATAATCTTGGGTGTCTGATATCTGTTATGCATAAAGTCGGGTTAGGAACAACTGGACAAGTTTGCGGTTATTTTAAATTCACTGCATTGCAATATCCAATGTTAGTGAGGCTAATTTGGTCTGGCAACAACGATGCCCTCAAGGACCTGTGGACATGTTGACCCTCTGTACTTCCTAGAGTTTAACCATTCATTGTGTCCTTTCTCACCATCTTAGTCTTCCCAAAATGCATCATCTCACATTTTTTTTCCAGAATTAAGTTCCATTTACCACCTCACTGCCCATTTGGCCAGCCCATATATATCACCCTTATACGTGGGAACACCCCCTACAGCTTCCCCTTCTAGGCACTCAATATTCTGACTTGGGAATAAGTCAGTTCCTCAAGTGTCACTGAGTCAACATCCTGGAACTTCCTCCCTAATGGCATTGTGGGTCACCCTACAGCAGGTGGGCTGCAGTGATTCAAGACGGCAACTCACCACCACCTTCAGGGCAACAAGGAATGGGCAATAATAATGAATGAATAAAGAAAAAGTTTAAGGCTTTCCTCTTGCTCCTTACCACACCACCAATTGTCACGCCATCTGTGAACTTACTGATCAAACCTTCTTTATTTGAGTCTGGGTGGAAGTGGAGTGCTGTTGTATTAGTTCATCATAAAAACAAATTTAGGAAATCTGAATCCAGATTTAGTTTCCACTTATTGGCAATCTCAGTCACAGAACACAAGATGACTGATGTAGGAAACATAAAAGGTGCAACATCAATGCAATAGGGAGATTTTTTTGTGGTTGGTACTGTGATGGAGCAGTGTACGGGGAACAATAGACAGCAATTGAATGCATTGATCTCTGACCAATGTGAATCTTGCGTGTTGGGTGCCCGAAATAAGAAGGGCTCCATTCTACAACATTAATATCCCTCAACATTTTAAGCTCAAACCCATTAACAAACCTATTAATTTGGTGTTAAAAGACAAATCACTGCGGATACTGGAAATCTGAAACAACCAGAACACAAGCAGAAACTAGAGACCTGGCAGCATGGATGGAGAGAGAAACAGAGTTAACATTGAGGCTGGTATGACTTCTTCAAAACTGAAAGGTGTCAGAAAATAGGTTTAATCATATATTTTTGATAGTAGCACAGAAGGAGTAAGCGGGAAGATGTAGGGGACCAGTGTAAAAGTCGACATTTTGTATACATTGGAGAAAGATAAAGAGGGATGTAAAAAACTGTACAAATTAAAATATGAAGTGGAGAGAGAATTGGCCCTTGCTACTAAGTGCAAAGTAAACCAGACACGGCTGTGGGGGAAGCAGTGGGAGTGGTGTGTGTGGATAGAAGAGGATGTAAGAAAACTGGAGAACACATAAAAGAGTGGTCAGGGTTTGAGGTTGAGAATTCAATACTGAAATCTTGAGGTTGTAAAGTGGCGTAGTGGAAAATGAGGTGTTGTTCCTTGAGCTTGCATTGTGCTTCGTTGGAACATTGCAGCAGGCTCAGGACAGAACTGTTAGCATGAAAGTAAGGAGGTTTATTAAGAAGACAAGCAACTGGCAGGTCAGGGTCATTCCTACTGACAATAAAATGGTCACCCAGTCCGCCTTTAGTCTTGCCAACATAAAGGACACCATATTGTGAGCAGTGAATGTAGTGGACAAGATTAAAAAGAGGTACAATTGAAATGCTACTTCACCTGGAAAGTGTGTTTGGGCTTAGACACTGAGGAGGGAGGAAGTGAATGGGCAAGTGATACACCTTCTGTAATTGTATGGGGAACTGCTATGGGGAAGTGAGGGAACATTAGGAGTGATGGAGGAGTGGACCGTGGTGTCACAGAGGGAACAGTCCCTGCAGAATGCTGCCAGTGAAGGGGATGGGAGAACGTGCTTGGTGTGGCATCCGGCTGGAGGTGCTGGAAATGAATGTAGAGATTACTGGGGTGCAGAGTGAGGACAAGTGGAACCTGTTTGTTATTCCGGAAGGAGTGAGGGGTAGAAACACGGGAGATGGACCAGATACAGCTGAAGGCCCTGTCAATCACAATTGGGCTGGGGAGAGATGGGGGACTGAAAGTCCTCAGTTAAAGACAGTCATGTCGAAAGCAACCTGATGGAAGGTGGTTCTCCTTCCAACAGGTGCTGATGGCTTAGGTGAGCAGGTAGGTGACTGATTGCTGAGTTTTAAGTTCTCTTTTTCTTTAAACAGGGATGATAGTTTAAAATCAGGAGCATGGCAATGTGAATATTTCATTCAATTTATAGCAAACTAATTAAATTCCATAATGTGACTACAGATAATCGAGCAAGGGCAATATATGGAACCACTACCACCTACAAGTTCCCACCAAGCCACTCAACATCCTGACATGGAAATATATCGCCAGTCCTTTACTCTTGTTGGGTCAAGATCCTCAAATTGTCTCCCTAATGGCATTGTAGGTCTGCAACAGTTGAAGATGGCAGCTCACTGCCACTTTCTCAAGGGCAACTAGGAATAGGTAAAAAATGCTGGCTCTTCCAGCAACACCCACATCCTGTAAGTGAATAAGAAAAACATTTCGAACTTGAAACCTTATTAGTTAAATAAAACAAAGAAGACATGGCGGGTGATGTGTTGCAGCTATAGTATGTGGGTTGCTGGTGTATCTCTGTGTAACCACAGCAACCACTATCCCAACAACACAGCTTCCTCTTCCCCACCCCATCCCCCCAGTACTGGTGTCAATGCACCATGAATCAAAACGATGCCCTCACATTCAATACTCTGATCTTATTTAATCCATTCAAGTTTACATGTGGCTCAAATAACCCAGAACTTATTACTTCAATCATTATACCATTTCATTTAGCTCCTAGCTGCTATTCCTTCAGCAAAATCTCTTATTTTGCCCTATGAGGTTCTTGGTAGCATGTTGTCCCCTTCCACTCCAGATTTCACTCCAAAGTTTCTTTCTAGCCTCGAGGAGATTTCTTTGACCCTGGCTACATAGCCTTTCAGCTCAGCTGCACAGAACAGTACTTATGCCCCGACTAGACTGTTCCATACTACAACTACATTGCTTTTTACTACTCGCCACTTGAAGCCACTGTACCAGTGTTATGGTCAGTTTGCTCATTGTCCCCAAAGTCCCTGTTCTTCTCCACTGTAGGAGCTTCAAACTTGTGGACAACTGCAAGGGCTGAGGCTTCTCTGATAATACTTTCTAGTTCCACTACCTGCCTCGGTCAGTAAAACCTTCCCGTCTCTGGCTGCAGACCAATTTTGATACAGCGAGTGATAATGGAAAGCTATCCTCTTATGAGAAAAATCAAAAATAAAGAAGTGAGAATAATCTGCATCAGTTCTACACAGTATTGGTGAGACATTGGCTTTCAGGGCCAAATGGTCTACTTCTGCAGCTAATTTGTATGCTCATATGAACGACAATAAAATTTCACATTCTGTCGGACAGTGAGAACTGCAGGTCCGAAACCAGAATCAAATCTTAAAAAAGGCAATTACAAGGATAAGAAAAGACAGATTTGGCTAACGTGGATTGGAAAGGTAGGTTAGAAGGTAGGATGGCGGCAAAGTACTAACAGGACAGCAGTTAAGGAAACATTTCAAAACACTTAACAAGGATACATTCCACTGAGAAAGCAGCAAGAATGAGAAGGATGCAAAATCTGAAGCCAACTAAGAAGTTAAGGATGGTATCAAGCTGAAAGAAAGTTTAGTGGTAGGAATCAATTTTAGGGAAAATTTTAGAAGGCAGCAAAAGGGGAAATAAATTAAATGATGAGAGAAAAATAGCAAGAAAGCTAAAACAGACAAAAACTTATATAGGTACATTATAAGAAAAATAGAGCTAACAGTGAGTATTGGTTCCTTAAAGGGTGAGACTGGGTATTAATCGTGAAACAAGGAAATGACAGCCTTTGAAGAAATATCTTGATCTGTCTTTGCAGAAGATATAAAAACATCAAGAATAGAAAATCTAGAGCATAAAAGAAAGGGATCATGATGACAACAGAAAAGGTTCTGGGAAGACAAATAGGATTAAAGGCTGATAAGAGCCCTAGAATTGAGGGCCTGCATCGTAAGATCTTAAAAGAGGTGGCTACTGACGTAATGGATGCATCAACTACAATCTTCCAAAACTGTCTAAATTCTGGAAAATTCCAGCAGTTTACAAAACCACAAGTGTAATATTTCAAGAGAAGAAAGAAACAGGAAGAAGAAAACTATTGGATGTTCGCCTAACATTTAACACAGGAAAACAGAATTCATTATTAAGGAAATAGTAGCAAGACATTCAAAAAAATCAAATACAATTGGGCAGAATCAGCAGAGTTTTGTGAAAGACAAATTTGTTAGAATCCTTTCAGAATCTAAGAAGCAGGGTGGATCTTTGACTAGTAGTAGTAGTAGTAGATGTAGCATATAAACTTATGGCACAAGATAAGAGCCCATGGTGTTGTGGGTTACGTATTATCATGTACATAATACCGGCTAACTAACAGAAAACAATCAAGATGAATGGGGCTATTTTCAGATTGGCAGACTAATGAGTAGTGCACCACAGGGATTTTCTGGTGTCTCAACTATGTCATCCAAATTGATTATTTGGATAAAGATAAAAAGATTTTTAGACAAATTTACTGATGATACAAACATAGGTAGAAAAGCAAGTTGAGAGGAAATTATGGAGAATATGTAAAGGTGTATGGATAGGTTCATTGAGCCCAAAATTTGGCCATCTAAGCATAAATGTAGAAAAATAAGGTTATCCACTTTAGCAGGGGGAAAGAAGTTCCTATTTAAGGGTATGTCAGTCTCCTAACACGCGCACCCCCCCCAAAAAAAGGTTCACATTGCACATTTGGAAAGTACTACACTTGAGCAATTTGTGAAATGCTCTGTCAAAAAAAAAGTTTACAATGGCAGAGCCGAAGTAAGCACAATAATTTATGAGCCAACAGGACAGAATTACATCATTAGCAGTACCGGCAAAGGTACAGTGCGTGCACATTTTGCACAATGTAGAGACAGCATTTTGCGGGTGTCAGCAGACACTCATTATTTAATGACAGAGACACCAATGGAATCCTGCATCACAGAAGAATATTGATATCCTCATTGATATCCTCAGAAATGAGCTACCAATAGATAGCATGCAGGCACTGCAAAAAAAAAAACTAGGAAAGCAAAAGGAATGCCAGTCTTTATTGCAAGCGTAATGGAAAATTAAAGTAGGGGAATCATCCTACAACTTTACAAGGCATTGGTGAGAAGGCACTTAACTACGTATAGTTTTGTGTTCCTACTTAAGGTTGGATGTATTTGCTTTAGAAGCAATATAGGGAAGGCTCATAATGCAGATTCTTGGGATGAAGGGGTTGTGTTTTGGTGAAAGGTTGAGCACTTTAGGGCCATACCTGGAGTTTGGAAGAATGAGTGGCGATCGGCAACAGGACAGATGCCAACAGAACGTTTTCCTGTTGTGGGGGAATCTAGAACTCGAGGGCATAAGATCTCCAAGTTCAAACACAGATAAGGAGGAATTTCTTTACTCATCAGGTATTTCCTCACAGTATCATCATAGCTTTGGAATTCTGTGCCCTAGATAGCAAATGAGGCCAGGTCATTGAATATATTCAAGGCTGAGTGAGATAGATTCTTGACCAACAGGGAAATCAAGGGTATGGGGCATATAAGAAAATGACTTTAAGACAACAATCCAATCAGCCATGATCCTATTGAATCGTGGAGCTTGCTAAAAAAGGCTGAATAGTTATTTGTATCATCATAATTTCTTCACAGACATGAATGTATAACCTAGGCCACCTCTTCCCTTATAATACCATAATGTCATTCTCTGCATTATTTATTCAATGTCAAAGGGTGGGAACACTGCACTTGACAGAATTTACTTGGCTAACTGACCTCAAACAGCTCTGCCATTATCTATTTAAACATCAATTTACTGTACTTTATTAAATACTGTGGATCTCCTAAGCTTATGACACAATTACAAAACACAGACAGTTCACCTCATAGGAGTCTCTTATTAGATCAGATATTTCCACTTGCTGTACAGGATCTTTATCATCACTAAGGACATGTTGCTGAGAAATTTGGGGCAATGGACTCTCTTTGTTTGTGATATGATCAAGAAACCTGTAAGAAGAGATTAGTTTCACTTCATTAATTGTGCACTCCAGCACAGAGAACGGTTTTCATTTTCAAAATTAAATCAAAAATGTTGCAGTTTTATCAAGAACAAATCCACTACACCTGCTAAGGATTATCAAGACTTGTCCATCGTCTGTGCAGCTACACAACTCTTGTGTATTGGCATCTAGTATAGCCAAGCCCACTTGGAAAATCACCTTTATTCCATCATAAAAGAAACAGTCAACAACATTTAGTGCACTCTCAAGGGGTATAATACTAAGGAAAAGGGTCAGGAACCAGGAGAGGGAAATGGACGCTAAACAAGACAAGTCTGTCACATGTTCAGCCAGCTCTGGTAAATGTTCTTTTATAAGTTCTTCAAATACAGCTTGATCTACCTGAGCACCTGGAAAACATGGGATATGACAAGGTGAATGACACAAGAGGAAAGCACGACTGGATTAAAAAGAAATAAATATAAACTGCCTAGACCAGAAATCTTATTGTGACAAAAAGAATGATGGGCACTTAAAGCAGTGTTCCCTTCATTTTGGTTTTGATTTTGTTTTTAAGTTAACAGCCTTCTAAAAGTCCAGTGTGTTAGTCATGTCCTTTGACCAAACATGGGACCCATTACGATGCATATTAACATTAAGATTTCAGAACTACATCTCATTGATGCCAGATGGCAAAGTAAGATCAACGCTGCTCCGTGACAAGGTGGCAAGAGAAATAAAGTGAGTCAAACTCATCGATTTCCTCACAATGTGCCCCTTAATCCAATGGTCAATCATTGAACAAATTCAGCTATCCATCTTTCATAAGTTTGAATACTCGGACTCATTTTTTTGGCTCAGAAGTTTGTGTTTCTATTTATTGCAGGTAAATTACTGTAAAAATGGGATCTCTGGATTGCAACAGAAGGTAGTTTACAAAAAGAACTAACATTGATAATCCACAACCATAGAACCTTTAATAAAATTGCCATTTTTCCAACATAATTCCTCAAAGATAGTGCTGTTCATTGCATTTTGTTCAATACTCAATGAAAATTTTCTATATTTAAATAAAACATACATAATGTTTGCTGTAATAGAGTGACAAGTCTTAGGATATAAACAAAATGAATTTTGTTATGTCAGCATACGATCACAATTGGAAATTGATTAGCATTTTTGATGGTGAAGGGGCCTTAGAGGGCCAGAGATAACTAGGCAAGAGTCTCCAATCCTAACTTACTGTACAGTTTAAGGTCATATATTTTGTTCCTAGTTTTTGTTAAAATTATGTTTTGATAAATACAGTCCATTAGTAAAATCTGCAGCAATGTGGAATGCAGTAGAATGGTTTGGAGCTCAAAATGTTTCTCTGCAAACGAGTCTGAAAAATTGTTAGGTACAGAATGGAGGCTTCACTATCAGGGTAGTGCAATTAAGGTGCAACAAATTTAAATTGGCACTTTCTTGGGAAATGTTGACAGGATTTCTGAGCAGATACAATGATGTTTTGTTGTAGGATATAATGAGACCTCACGATTTTGCTTTGGAACTATGCATTGCAATCAAGAACTGCATTTGAAATTGAAAATTTCAAAAAAAAAAAAAAAAAAAAATTTGAAAAGCAGCTTCTTTCAATAAACAGAGAACAAAAAAACTGATGTTTGCTGTTGGGAAGTGGCCTGGGAAGATAATGCTGGTTAATTACTGGACTACAGCACCAAGATGTTGTTATGCTTTGGAACTGGCAGCTGGTTGGAAGTTGAGTTGGTTAATCAAGAGAGAACCAGTCCTGGCCAATCAATCACAGAAAATGTTATAAAAGGAAGGAAAAAACAGAGTGAACTATCTGAGTGGGTCTTAGGAAAGAGGCAGTGTTGCTTTGAATGGTGCTGGTTTGGAGGCTTTGTTTTTGGCTTTTGCTCTGTCGATTATTTTCCAGTTACTGATTTGTTAAAAGTTCTGAGAAAAGAACCCTCGTTTGTAAGAAATAAGTAGAAGTCTCCAGAGGTCTGAGGAAGCAGTTGCATTGACAGATAACTTTGGAATTCAAGCAAAACATATATTCCTGAGTGCCTACAATATAACTCATCATGCAAGGATTTCACAAAGGCCAGGTATTCATCATTGAAAAGTTTATTGAACTGGCAAATTATGATTCTTTTATTTAAATATTTATCCCTAAATGGTGTCTGTCTGCCTGTCTATCTATCGGTGTAACAGTGGGGGTTTATATTCAAGGAAGATTGGGCTTAGATCATAAATATTAATTAGGTTGCCTTGTGGTTTCTGTGTTCTGTTAAAGTTACATTCTTAATAATAAATAGTTAACTTTTGTTTAAACTATAAACTTGGTGTCCAAGATTTGTTATTTGTTAGGTCTGAGTAGGAACAACTGAGCAATTTTGAGTGTGACTGAATGTTTTAAGTTGTGTTGTGAATCCAGTGACCATGAGACTGATTTGGTTTAGCTTGATATCCCTGTGTCATAATGGTTATACACATGTCAATACAGTTCAATATAATTCAACATCTGTAGACTAACAAAGGATCTTTTGCAGGACAGCTATAGAAAACTAGTCATTTTGTTTTCCCAGATATTGTAAAATTTGGTTTGTTTTCTTCGATGTGGTAATATTAGCACATTACATTTTTTTAAGTGTCACTGAAATTTTTACAAGTTCATTAATCAAACCAATTCAAATATAAACATGAATGTAGCATTCTAACAAGACAGTGCACAATGGGGTCTGCAAGAATAAATCTAAACAGCCATGTCAGGACTTCCTTTCTGGAACACATACAAAGTTGCTGCTGTAAAGTACTTCAAATAAAACAGTGTCTAACATTATCCTGTACTTTACCTAAGAACTGATTTCAGGTAAACTAAAATAGTGGGTCAAATGCAATAATGGAATGCAAACAGAGATGTTCAAAGCTAATAGTCGAAACATATCAGAATGTTAATGTTCAAATATATTGAAGTTAATTGGTGTGAAAGAAATATTTACCAATAACTCGACGGTTGAAGTAATCTGGGAGCATTTTCTCACAGACAGCAACAAGTAACCAAAAGGCTTCTTCCTCTTTTGCATATAGTAATAATACAGAAGTCAGAATATTCATAGACTGTGGGAACACAGGAAAGAAAATACATCATTTAGTGGCATAGCAGTGACCTAATCCTGCAAGAACTAAGTGGTATTTTAATGAAGTCTTATTATTGAAGATAATGGATATTTAGTGGAATTAAACTCCATTGCTAAGCTAAGGCAAATGTTCTGCCAAATGCTCAATCTTTGTCTATATAACAAATCTGCTCTGCGTCATTACATTGCTCTGAAATATGGAAATTTTATGCACACTTCCTAGACATAAGCAAGCAATAAAATGGACTGGGTGATCTGATGGCTTATCAAAGTAATGCAAATTACAAACATTAAAACTGGTTGCATACACCAGAAACAAATTATGACTGAAAGGAAATACTACCCCCAACTTATGTACCACAACCCTCTCACATTGCAAGCGTGAAATCATTTGTTAATAAAATTCATGTAAACGGCTTTTCAAACTGTAAGATTCCAAGTTTTAAAAAATTGCTGTTGGTGGTACCCTATTTTTTGTAAAGATGTTTCTCATTTCTTCGTATTCCAATCAGCTTGCAAAAACTAGTAAATCGATTCACATTTAATTAAAGCAAATAATTGTGAATCATTTTTACCTGGCAATAGCCTATCTTGGGATTTCTGTATGCATATGCTGTCAGTACTCTCCTTAGTGCTGCAATGCCTGTGTCACTCTGAAAAGCTGGATGGTCAGGGAGAGAACGATGCAGATCACGTTCAATTTCTTCCGTTGCCATGCAACATTTGCCCATAGATTCATCCACCAGATTCGCATAGTAATCAGGATGTGAAACTAAATCAGTCACAGCATCTGTGGACAGAGATGTGGCATTGTGTTTATACACAAGAAAAAGGTTTACTTTCAGTTTACTGACATTTGTTCATGCATGGTGTAACTGTGTTTAATTATATGAACTGACATGTCACCTAATGTCCCTGTGAAGATACAATAGCACTCCCTGTTACATCCAAGAACTCATCACAGCATACCCCAAAACACTTCAGATCAGTACCAGAAAATTTGCAACAGTAGAAATTCTTTTAAAATCAGTGCCTGGCCCTACAAATGATACTGGTTCAGAGTCCAACTTGCAGCTGAATAAGGTGAATAGCCAAGGTCTTTTCCCCAGGTCAGAGGAATTCAAAAATTAGAGGGATTAGGTTTAAGGTGAGAGGGAAAGATTTAAATGGGACCTGAGGGGCAACTTTTTCCACACAGAAGGTGATTTGTATATGAAGTGAACTGCCAGAGGAAGGGATAGATGTAGGTGCAGTTACAACAGTTACAAGATATTTGGACAGGTACATGAATAGGAAAGATTTTGAGGGATATGGGCCAAAATGCAGGCAAGTGGGACTAGTTTAGTTTGGGAAACCTGGTCAGCGTGGATGAGTTGGTCTGAAAGGTCTGTTTCCGTGCTACGTGACTCTGTGACTCCATGACTCCTTATTTTGTGGATTTTCTGCAACCTGTACCCGAGGAGAGCAATCAGCTTCCAAAACACTGTCACCAGTATTGCCATGAATTGTCTCCAGACAGCTCTGGACTAAAAAAATCTCAAAACTTATTATGTTAAAGTAAGCACTGGGCACTAAAGCTTTCATAGTCAGCTCGTGTTGCAATGGCAACTTTGATCAAGGTGGCAAATCTACGTTAAACTAACAATGACTTCCCAATTAGCCCACCCAGATGGGCCCTCAGCACGACATACTTGTCTTTGTGACAAGACTGAAATCTAAGCTTGCTGAATCACTTAAGTATCCACTTCTTGGATTCTAAGTCAGCTGCTTTTTGACTTTGATGTAACTCATGTGAACTGATTTTAATACCTCTAGATTTACCAAAACGCGTCATTTATAATCTTATCTCCTCTCCTGTCACGTCTTCCTTGATTCTCTCAATGCGTGTGCGTGGAGAATGGGAGCAGTGAAACAACTCCCCCACAGTATAAATGTTTTGTTAAAGAAAAAATTTATTTCTTTTTGAAATAAACCCACAGCAAAATCCTTTAAGAACTGGAATCCAAAAAACAGGATTTATGTGGGGACACACTTTATCCTGCCTCAGTAGAGGATGGGAATAAAAAGGAAAAGTAGTTATCACTGTTTAAAATGGGAAATTTCCCTTTTTGTCTGTGACAATATTCACCTGAAAATTGAAGCCATAGCTGTCCTCGAAGACACTGTGGAACTCCCATTGCAACCAGCTTTCTTATTTTCTCTGTCCGAAACATACTGACTGTGTGTCCATATTCCACAAAATGGTCATACCATAATTGATTTTTTGCTTTCTCCATTTCCTAAAGATGCAAATCTGCCATTAATTGGAAGCTATTTGAACAGCAGCCTTTGAAAAGCTGTCCATTCATACAAAAGTTTGCAAACTCATAATCAAATGGAAACAAAAATGATTAAAATCATTCTGTTGTCATTGTACAATGTTACCATCATTACATACCGAAGATCTGAAAGAGAGTTACAGCCTTAGAACAGTTAGTTTAAAAATATTGCTTTACCCACTTCTGACAGGAACAATGTTGTCGCAATACAACTGCTACAAATAGCACACAACTGTCTTGATGTTTCCCTCAAGTTTATGGAACAGATCAGACACCCTCAAAAAATATTAAGAAGGTAGCCTAGACTTTTTGTTATTTTAAAAGGTAAATGTGCTGTGCTCCAAATGCAATTCGATTGGTCAACCTACTGGACATTAAGCAAAACACAATTTATTCAAATACTATAGTTAAAATACAATAGAAAGAGGAACTCGGACTAACTTAATAATTGGAAAACTTAACAGAATAAAAAATACAGTAAATTAGTGATATTTACTGTTCCAATATTGTAACATCCCGTAAACACATTCTTGGCAAAAAGGCAAGTTCAGAAAACAGAATTGTCTCACTTGTAGCTTCCATAGCAGGTAGAGAACCCCCAAGCTTTTGGCTGTAACCAAGAGGGGTACAATAAAATAGCTTTTCACTTCAAGACCCCAACAGCAACTGCCAAATCTAAAATACTAAAAAAAAAACCTAGAAAGCCTGGTCTGAGAGAGCTGGTCACACACATCCAGGCTGCTTCTATTGTTCCAACGTTTTAAAAAAAACCAAGGCCTCACAAGCTGTTTCTGTTACCAAAGACTTCTCAGCACCTCTAGTTCAATCTATCTTAAAAGAAACCAGGACAAAACACACTTCTTAAAGCTACAGCATCATCACACTTAGCTCAGTGATTTGACATCTACATCAAAAGGGACAGAATGATCACCTTCAAGCTCTGACGGGGATTGAAAACAATCACTGCCCTCTCCAAATTTCCCTCCATGTCATCCACTTACGCACTAATATAGCCCTTGCTATCCATCATCCTGAATTGGATGACTGTATTGATACCCTCCTGCAGAGACTGGGCTCATCCTGTCCCTGACTGAAAACTCTGCATCTGCTCACTCAAACCAGTACAGTGGTATTAGCCAAAGGGGCTCTCCTCAACTCCCTTTGGTTTCTTTCATCCTATAACTAAAATGCTCAGAAATTAGGAGTTACATTGGCAATGCTCCACTTCACTTCCATACCCACAAATGTTTAAAAGGTTGTCAGAATCTAAAAACTTTTCTAGGATGGCAATTCCCATTCCAAAGTCCAGCAATTTTCTTTATGCATATTTATCCTACGTAATTATACGCGATCATAAGAACAAGAAGCCATTCAGATAGGTGACCATGTTCTACATTCTATTCAGTCACATCTGGTCTGTGAATTAGTTCCATTTACCTGCCCTATTACCATATCCCTTCTTACTCTTATCCAATAACAGAATTACAACAAAGTGACATTTTCTCTCATCGCCATTACTACAAGTCAGTAAAATTTGTACAATCCTCAATTTTCACAATCTTTCAGAAGAGAAAATTACCTTTTTCTTCCCCGATCCATCTTACAGAAAGTATAACTATAATAAAGCTGAATAAATGAGTTATAGAAAAAATCTAATTATCTTCAAAGAAGATTATGCAAAGAACAACTCTTAGACCAGTCTCTGAACAATTCACTCACAGAAGCAAGTTGATAAATTAATAAACGCTGCAGGTAGGAGTAAGAGATGCGCAAAAGGTTAAAATTTAAAAGAAATAAGAATGAAATCCTGTATACATACCATTTTAGATTTTCCACCTTCAGTTTCAATCAGGTGGAAGTGTGCCATTAAAGCCTCTGAGTTTAACGAATGTCTAGGCTCTTTTTTGATACTTGGAGTGTTCACAAGTGAATCTAGTGCTTTATTAGTGGTACAGATTTTTTCAGGACAACATGTAGATTCTGAGGATACCTAGAAGACATTGGATGTAATTAAATATCATGTTTTTAAACACCTATTCATGAATTTCACATAACCAAACGCACAACATAAAGAGTCAGTAAGCTGCCAGTGTGCTCTTCTATAGATAAATTTTAACATGAATTTTGTCACAGAAATAATATTGAGACTGTCAGCACTCAACAGATTGGAACTTTACTCACTGGAGTTTAGAAGAATGAGAAGTGATCTCATTGAAACATATAGGATTCTTAATGGGCTTGACAGGGTAAATGCTGACAGGATGGTTTTCCCTGACGGGAGAGTCCAGGATAATACGGCAGTCTCAGCATAAAGAAATACCAATTTAAGACTGAGATGAGAAGTGTCTTTGCAACTCCTTGCCATAGAGAGCTTTGTTTATGTAAGGCTAAGATAGATAGATTCATGATCAGGAGGGAAATTAAGGGTAATGGGAAGGGGCAGTAAAGTGGACATGAGGAATTTTGGATCAGCCACAATCCTACCGAATGGCAGGGCAGGTTTGGGGGGGCCGAACGACCTACACCTGTTCTTATTTCTTACAGTTACTCACTGGTATTAATGCAAAACAAAATGGAAAGCTAATTCCTGCAACTGCACAAACAGTAAACGGATGTCAAGAAATTGCAGAATTGACCAGCAGCCTGTTAAATGATTCAACACATGTTGGATGTACTTGCTTCTTAGAAATCCAAACTTTCCAGAAAAATTGAGAAGTCTGGTGTAAGTTTATTTTGTAAATTGCATATTAAGTCTTGATTATTGCCACGTTTGGCACAGAGAATAAAACTTTAATGCTGAGTACTCAGGGGAATTTTTTTTTTAACCCAGACAGGTGAGGATGTGAATGTAATAACTGGGAGCAGGAGAAAGCCTTCAAGTCTACTTTACTTCACATCAAGATGATCAAAGGTGATCTAACTGTTGTCTTAAATACACCTACCTGCCTGTCTCAAATTGAATACACTCAAAGATACAGCCACTAAGAATGTGGAGAATAAAATTCCTCAATGCAATTCTGAAGTGGGAAATCTCTTACTTCGAAAGAATGTCCCTAGTTCCAAATTAGTCACGAGAGGAAACACCCTCATCTACCCGGTCAAGCTTCTCCGCTTCTCAGAGGTTTCACTAAGAATGTGGAACAGACTTAACAGCAAGTGGTTGCAGTGAATAGCACTTTTTTTAATCATAGGATGGAGTCAGTCACTGGCCAGGCCAACATTTATTTGCCCACCCCTAGGGCAATTAGAGTCAACCACACTACTATGGGTCAGGAGTCACATGTAGGCCAGACCAGGTAAGCATGGCAGTTTCCTTTCCTAAAAGGACACTAGTGAACCAGAGAGATAGCAAGAACTGCAGATGCTGGAGGCAGAGATAACAGTGTGGAGCCGGAGGAACACAGCAGGCCAGGCAGCATCAGAGGAGCAGGAAAGCTGACGTTTCAGGTCGGGTTCAGGTTCAAAAAGGGTCCCGACCCAAAATGTCAGCTTTCCTGTTCCTCTGATGCTGCCAGGCCTGCTGTGTTCCTCCAGCTCCACACTGTGTTATCTATTTACTGGTGAGCCAGATCAGTTTTTTTTCCAAACAATCAACAATGTATTCTGGTTATCTTTAGATTAATTCCAGAGTTTTTTTTACTGAATTCAAAATCCACCATCTGCCGTGGCAGGATTTGAATTGGAGTCCCCCCAAATACATTACTTAGGTCTCTGAATTAAACAGTCTAATGATAAAAACCGCTAGGCTATTGCCTCCCCCTTAAAACGTATTTAAGGGCACACTTAATAAATGCATCAGAGGGGAAAGAGTGGGAAGGTTTACTGATAGGGTGAGAAGAGAGTGAAACCCAACTTTGATAAATTGTTAACAAGAGATCAGTGGAGCCAAATGGCCTCTCTCGGGTGATTTTAAAAAGCACCTTGCGCTGTTGTAGGGATCTCTTTCACTTTGTATATAAATCATCTCAGGAAATTCTACTATGGTATTCCCTGTGGAAATTCAGTAGCCAATCTTGGTCAATAGCAATTGTTGCAAATTGTCTCAATGAAAGCTGACCACTGAGAGAGGCAGGAAATCCCACATCCTGAAATTCCTGAGCCAGTGATAGAGTCAGAGACATACAGCACAGAAAACACCTTTCATCTCATCAATTAGAACAATAACATTGACTGATTCGAAATTTTTGTTCATAAGCTAGGAGGAGTTAAGTTCAAAGAACTAAAGATTACATCAACATTTTCTCCTCTTCACAACTGCTTGACAATTCTCTCTCTCGGCCTGCGCAATTTTTAACTCAGTTAAGCAAGTTTTTGGATACAATTCATTAATTTCAAAATGAGTCAATCCATGTTACAATTCAGCAAATAATTGGCATAAGCATATTAGTCAGTAAACTACTTCTGAAGAGTATGCACATTTCCATGCAATTACTACATACAAGTGATGTGCTAATGTAGTGGGGGGGGGGGGGGGGGGGAGGGAGGGGAGAAATCTTCAAACAGTCTCTACCATGAGAGACAAAGTAATTGACAAGCCAACAGGACTGAAGACAGACAAGTTGCCAGGACCTGATGTTCTGCATCTAAGGGCTTTAAAAGAAGTGGCTGCATAGATAGCTGATGGAATTGGTCGAAATATTCCAGAACTCACTGGATTCCAGGATGGTTCCAGCTGACTGCAGTTTTCCAAATGTGACCCCCCTCAAGAAGAGAAAGAGACAGAAAGCAGGAGACTATAGGCCAGTTAGTGTAATATCGGTCATTGGGAAGTGGTAGAATCCATTATTAAGCATTAAAAAAAAACTTAACACAATCAAAACCATGTTGGTACTGAAAGAGGGAAAATCATAATTGACAAATTTGACAGTGTACTTTGAGGACATAAACATAAGTGGGATTGGAATCTCAGAATCATTATGGTGCAGGTGGCGGCCATTTTGGCCTTCTGCCTGCACTGGTTCAATGACCTCGTGATAATCTCCGAATAGATGTAGTGTATTTCCAGAAAACACTCAACAAGGTTCCCACATTAAAGGTTATGGCAGATAGGATTAGTTAAAGACAGAGTCAGGATCAGTGGTTCCTTTTTGCAGCTTGGAAAGTCTTAACTAGTGAAATGCCACAAAGGATCAGTCCTAGGGCCTTAATTACTTACAATCTACACAAATGACATGCAGGAAGGCCAGAGTGTTACACCAGCAAATTTAGTTACATTACAAAGATAGGAAAAGGGCATTTTGTGATGTGTTATATATAGGTTGAATGAGTGGGCAGGTGGAATTTAATGTACGAATGGGAGGAGTCATGCACATGTTGGAAGAATCAAAAGTCAGACTGTTATTTAAATTGAGAGGTTCCAATAAAATGCACCAGAGGGGGATCTGGGTATTCTGCACAAAACACAAAGGATTAGCAATGAAGGTGCAGCAAGTAATTAAGGCGACTAATGGAATTTTGCCTTTATTGCTAGGGAGTTGAAATTTAAAAACAGGGAAGTCTTGTTTCAAAGTATACAGTACCAGTGAGGTTGTACCTGGATTACTGTGTAGCATTTTGGTCCTCATACTTTTTAAAAGAAAAGCATTTACTTGCATTGGAGGCTGTTCAATAAGCCAATTCCTGGGATGTAGGAGTTGCCTTATCAAGAACAGCTAAACAAGTTAGGCATTTGATTGATGACTTGCTCGCCGAGCTGGCTTGTTCTCATTCAGACGTTTCATCACCATGCTAGGTGACATCGTCAGTGAGGCCTCCGACGAAGCAATGTTATTCTACTCTGCATGGAATTTATACTGTCCGGTCCATTATGGCGAGAACTGTCATTTCCAGTTTTGGTCTGTATGGGTTTGTACATGGGGTTCAATTCTATATGTTTGTCGATTGACGTATGGGTGGAGAGCCATGCCTCTAGGAATTCCCGTCCCTGCCTATGTTAGGTTTGGGCTACTATAGTTACATTGCCCCAGTTAACCGATGGCCCTCGTTGTCCAACTGCACTGATAGAGGAAAGTTTGTCGTGTCGTTTTGCTGCTAGCTGATGTTGATGTATTCTGATGGCTAGTTTCCTTCCAGTCCGTTTGATGTAATGTTTGTGGCAGTCGTTGCAGGGTATGTTGTAAACCACGTTGGTTCTGTATGTCATGGGAGTGGAGTCTTTAATCAGAGTGTTTGTCGTAGAGTGGCTGGGAGCTTGTGGTCCACCATGAGTCCTAGTGATCTTAGGAGTCTTGTTGTCAGTTCTGATATGTTCTTGATGTAGGGAAGTGTGGCCAGTGTGTTAGAGTGTACTGTGTCCTCCTGTTGTTGTCTGTTATGTAGGCATCTGTGGATGAAGTTAAGAGGATATCCATTTATAGTGAGGATTTTGTATAGGTGCTCTTCCTCTTTCCTGCATAGTTCTGGAGTGTTGCAGTGAGTGGTGGCCCAGTTAAATAGTGCCCTAATGCATTGGACATGTTACATCGTACAAACAGGAAGGAAACTAGCCATCAGAATACATGACCATCAATAGCAGCAAAACGGCACGATGACCTCTCCTTAATATCTATACACTACGATAATGAAGACCATCAGTTCAACTGGGACCAAGTAGTAGCCAAAGCCAAACATAGACTCGCACGGGAATTCCTAGAGGCATGGTTCTCCACCCATACTTCAATCAACAAACATATAGAATTGGATCCCATATACAAACCCATACAGATGAAAACCAGAAATGACAGTACTCACTATAACAGGCTGGACAGTATAAATTCCAGAGTAGAATAACACTGTTTCATTGGAGGCTCCACTGATGATGTCACCCTAGCATGCTGATGAAACATCTGAACGAGAATAAACCAGCTCGGCAAGCAAGTCATCAAACTCACCCACAACCCGAGCTATAGATCGTTGCCAAAACTTAAAGTTTAGGCATTTATTTATTAATTAGAGAAGAATGAGGGGTCATTTTCTTGAAACATACAAGATTCTGAGGGGGATTGACAAGGT